ATGGACTAAGGCAGTTACTCAGAGTGTTGTCCAAGAAGTCTTAAGGCGCCTGAGACTTTCTCAGGGGTTTCATAAGGTCCTTCTTCTTCCAATGATATGTGTGATACTGGATTTCCTATGTATACTGCAGCCAGTACAACATATTGTAACAGAATGAATATAGATCATATGTGAGAATCCAGCTGTCTTTTATTAAGTCAAACAGAGATTTTTTTAAAAAGTGGGAAAACAATGCCACTTTTCTCACTACATGTTTTTAAAAAATAGGTCATACTTCTTCTAAAATAAAAAAAATAAGGTAGTATGTTTATTGTTATTTTATTATGAATAGAATATTTTAAAAATTCTGTTTAAATTTTTAACACTGTAAATATCAAGGGATGTAGCCTGCATACATACAATTCTCAGTAATGTTCAAGAGTTTAAAGCAATTCTGAGGCCAAAAAGTTTAAAAAATACTGGAGTAAGGCAATCCCGGAACTATTGAATTATTGCCACTCCCATTTTCTACTACTAGTCTCTCTTTCTTGCCAGCTTACATATGAAAACTTCTTAGCCAAAAATATTTGACAGCAGGAAAGTTGAAATTTTACTTTTAAAAAAATGATATTTTCTTTTTAGTATGTTTTAAAATTAAAAATAGATCCTTGGGACTTCAGGGTGAGATTTTAGCATATTGATGTTTCTTATAATTGAAATATGGTCAGGAGATAGCAGAACATTCCCTTTTCTGCATGCTTTTTTTCTTTCCTTTTGGGGGTGCTGTTTTTAATAGCTGAGTTGGCTGGTCAGGAGAAGTGCTGCAGACCCTGAATAAAATGGCAACCAGTAAGTAATGTTGACTTTTTTCCCAAAGATTTTTGGCAGATTTTGAGCTGTCTTTAAACAGTAGAGACCGAATTAGTCCCTACTGTTTGAGGGTCTGAATTTATAATTCTTTTTCTGTCTTCTATTTGTGAGCCTAAATTATTGTTTTAATTTTGTTCACACAGTGATAATCGGTTAATAGGTATTTGGGACGTGGGCTTTTGCTGGCTTTGTGACATGGAAAATATGCCAGGGGTGATTGTTTCTTAGTTTTTTTTTTTTTTAATAGTAAAAGAAGTCTTGATTTTGAAGGTTATTAACTGTTGGCTTTTACTATTACTTGAGCTAAATTCTACAGATTAAAGTTATAGAGATGATAAATCTCTTAATCTTGCCATTTCTTTGCAGGTCTCCATGTATGTGGTGGGGTGGGAGTGCTACTAATTCTTTAGAATTTAATCTTAAATTGAGCTGATTAATTCAGGAAAAATTCTAATTAAACTGTTATTAAATGTGTACCTACTTGGCTCTGGCAACGATGAACAAGATGGACTATAGATTTTGCTCCTATGGAGTGTAGAGTCTAGTGAGAGAGACAGGTGTTCAAAAGCACACACAGGTATGAATGCACAATGATTAATTAGGATGATTTCTATGAGTGAAACTTAGAGTGGTCTATGAGAATGAGCAGAGAGTATTTAAGGGTTTAGGCAGACTTCTAGAAGGCGGTGCCTTTAGAGAAGCCACTGAGACTTATAGGATGAGTAGGAATTCCGTAGGTTGGGCCCTGAAAGAAGGGAGCATCACGTGCAAATGTCCAGAGATAGGCAGAAAGCGGCCTGGTGGGGGTGACAAGAATGGAAAACGGGGACTGAGGAACTAAGGAATGATGGTGTGAGCCAAGGGGGCAGTGAAGATAGGTGAGTAGAAGGCCTAGAGTGCCTCACCTCTGTTCTGACCCTTGCCTTCCTCTTTAGCCTTGTTGGGTGTGCTCCAACTTTTTTATAACTCCTCCAGACCCTTTGTGTCCTGGCCAGTCCTGCGTTTTTTCAGTCCTGAGGTTTGCCTTAAGTCCTCAGGACATGCCATGCTTGCTCTGGCCACAGGCACCTCCACAGAAGTGCCTTTTCCCGTAAGTATTACCCTGTCTGTATCCTGTGTTCACCCTCTCCCACCACACTCCCCACCACACCCCCCACTACACCCCCCACCACACCCCCACCACACTCACCCTTTTCCTTGAACCTCTACTCATCTTTCTGGTTCCTGGTTCCTTTTCAGATGTTGCCTCCCCAGGGAACCTCTCCACCCCCCAGAAGATCTCAAGTTGTTTTGTTAGCAGCGTGATTTTAACTATGTTTCTTCCCAACTGTTAATTCAGTTTTTAATGATGCAATCTTTTGGATGATTATTTGATTACCACCATAGACATATTTTGTAAGTGCCACGATAGCAAGACCGCATTTGATTTTGTCGTTTTAGGTTTCTAATATGTAGCACATAGTAGTTTTTGAATACATGAAGGACTGGGAATTCAGAAAGACTGAGATAAGAAACAATTTAGTTCAGCAGTGTTCAATCGTTTGTGATGACATATCCCATAAAAAGTTTTTTGATGTAACCTTAATATGTAAATTGGCTACACATTTTATATAAAATAAATAAGTGTATATTATAAAGCGCACGTAAAAAAGAAATTAATTAAGGATAAAATACTTAAGGTGTTGCTAATGACAGTGGAATCCTATTATCATCAATGAAAGTCTCAGGCCACTCTGGATAATGTTTTTTTTTTTTTGAGACAGAGTCTCACTCTGTTGCCCAGGCTGCAGGCTGGAGTGCAGTGGCTCGATCTTGGCTCCCTGCAAGCTCCACCTCCCAGGTTCAAGCGATTCTCCTGCCTCAGCCTCCTGAGTAGCTGGGACGACAGGCGCGTGCCACCATGCTTGGCCAATTTTTGTGTTTTTAGTAGAGATGGGGTTTCACCATGTTGATCAGGCTGATCTGGAACTCCTGATCTCGTGATCCACCCGCCTCAGCCTCCCACGGTGCGGGGATTACAGGCGTGAGCCATCACACCCGGCTGATAATGTTTATTATATATGACAGTGGTTGCAAATCCGTTTTTCAAATATTTTCAGATTTTGAATTTGAGGGACTGTTTCATGTCAGATTAAACTGAGTATTACTACTTTTCTCTAGTAAAGTGGTTAAGGAAGCACCAATAGAAATGAGCGATTTTAAGTTCACTGTTTTCTTACTCTTCTCTGGTGCTTGCATTAATAATGTATGGTATCTCTAGTTTCTTTAATGGTTTTAGAGCACTTGTCATTTGGGAAGGCTCATTGCATTGTAAGTACCCAATGTAACCTGTAATTCCACTTAAACGGACCTTCAGAACTACAAGTATACTGCTGTACTCTATAAACAAATCATGTCCACTCTTTATTATGTAGTTCCTAGTTTTTCTGAAAGATACCTCCTATACTAGACTGTCACATAGAACTGAGATAGAGACCAGATTAAGTCTCAAGTTATTTTCTACTTTATTAGATTAAAACATTCTTATGAAAAACCATCTTAATATTTTCATTCCATAACTCAATGCATGACTCTTGCTTGGTCCTTGGATGCCCATACCTGTTTTGGAGATGAGTGAACCAGTGCTGGAGACTGCCCCAGACAGATGATTATGATTCCATGCCGGAGGCTGAAATTACTGCAGAAGGAGAGGTGTTTCACAACGGTCTTACCTTTGAGCTGGTATCATGTATGACAGGAGGTGGCATTGGGGTAGGAGAGGGGTGGAGGAGGGGGCTCAGGACAATTCAAGCAGAGGGGAGCAAAAAGCATATTCATGTCCAAAGGTACAGAGATGTGTTGGAGGAGTCACATTCTGGTTGTGAGGGGTCAAGATGAAGGATTCGTATGTCCCCAAGAGGACCCACTATAGGAAAGATCTATGTGAACATGGAAATAACAAAAACAACAGTACTAGGGTCTTGCTCAAGTTTCATATGCTTTTAAAAACAGAAAAGGAAGGTACATAAAAATCCCCTTTATCTCTTCCCTTACCTTGCTTTTAGGAAAGGAATTGACTGAAATATAATTATGGAACCAAAGAGAAATAAATTTAAATGAAGGGTGGTAAGATATGATGGAGGTATGGTTTGTAAACAGACCGCCAGCCAAAAAAAAAGATTAAAAAAAAATTTTTTTAACTAATTAAAAACAAATAGAGATGAGGTCTCACTATGTTGCCCAGGCTGGTCTCAAACTCCTGGGCTCAAGTGATCCTCCCACCTTGGCCTCTGAAAGTGCTGAGATTACAGGTGTGAGCCCCTGCACCAAGACTAAATAATTTTATTTTAAAGGTCAACACTTCAGACATTCTAGAAAGCAATGGGCTTTCGCTCTTTGCTTTAAAGCTGAAAGAGTTCAAGCACACTAACCTATCATTAAAGAACTTTACCAGCTTTTTCTTTATTTTGCCATCCAGAGAATTGCAACTGACCAAATTGTCATCACATTTCTGATATTTCATATTATTCAAATGGAAAAGTTTTTTAGAATTTTTACATGATTTTCGTTATTGTCTATCCTTGTTAAGTTTCTTTAATGCAGAAGTGCATTGCTTTGCCGTAGATGGGGTATTTTGTTGTTGTTGTTTTGTTTGCTTTAGGTCTGTATGTTGATGTAGGTTGCTCCACCTCCAGTCCTTTTAAAGGAGAAGTAAGGCTCTAGCGTAGTAATTTGACTTGAATTATTCAGCTGCTTAATCTTTAACATCATTTTAAAATAGCCTATTTATGCTTCTCAGGGTTTTTAATCTCGTGCCAATTGTGCATTCAATGGGGTGAGATAAAATTCAAACCTAAAATCTTTTGGGACTGCCTTGCTTTGTAGCTGAAATTTTTTTGTTTTCTTATTGAGTTCTTCGTAAGAGAGTAAACTTTGAGAAAGTACCCCTGGAGTGACTACTAGTTGGAAGTGAATATGACTGACTCTTTAAGGTGATGTGTTTAGGTCCACGTAAAAGGTATATGTTTAAATGTTGTAAGAAATAAGGCAATATATCTGAGGGTGATTAGTAAGAAGGGCCTTGAGTGGCAGTTTGAAGGTGGTATGCTTAATTTGTTGTCCTGCAGTTAGATGTTTATGTTTTACTTACATCTCGTCTTTTCCCTCCACAGTTGTACAATGGTAGATGGAGTGATGATTCTTCCTGTGCTTATAATGATTGCTTTCCCCTCCCTTAGTATGGAAGGTAAGTGACTCACCATCCTTTTGGGTTAAGATAAGTATACTGTGATGTTTTTGACTACTGTAAACTGCTTCTTAATCCTATCAAATGTAACACACTTTTTATAGTAAGTATTTGGTGATTACTGACCATTTTGAAGTAAAATTTTATATACATTATATCTGAATTTTTACATACACTTTTTTTTTTAAATTAAACGTAACTTTCTACTTAAAATAAATATAGGGCCAGGGACGGTGACTCACACCTGTAGTCTCAGCATTTTGGGAGGTCGAGGCAGGTGGATCACCTGAGGTCAGGAGTTTGAGACCAGCCTGGGCAACATGATGAAACCCCATCTCCACTAAAATACAAAAATTAGCTGGATGTGGTGGTGGGCACTTGTAATCCCAGCTACTTGGGAGGCTGAGTCAGGAGAATTGCTTGAACCCTGGAGATGAAGGTAGCAGTGAGCCAAGATCATGCCATTGCACTCCAGCCTGGGTGACAGAGCAAGTCTCTGTCCCAAAAATAAATAAATAAACAAATAATACATATAAAGGAGAAATAAGAGAAAATTCTGTAATTAACAATAAAACATTTGTTTAAACAAACGCAAGGCCAGGTGCAGTGGCTCGTGCCTTGTAATCCCAGCACTTTGGGAGGCCGAGGCGGGCAAATCACTTGAGGTCAAGAGTTCAAGAACAACCTGGCCAACACGGTGAAGCTCCATCTCTACTAAAAATATGAAAATTAGCTGGCCATAATTGTGTGGACCTGTACTCTCAGATACTTGGGAGGCTGAGGTGGGAGGATTGCTTGAACCTGAGAGGTGCAGGTTGCAGTGAACCGAGATTGCGCCACTGCACTCCAGCCTGGGCAACAGAGGAAGACTCTTAAAAAAAAACAAAAACAAAACCAGCCCCAATGTATATATTACAGTGTAGCTGGGCGTGAGTCTACAAGAAGACATGATGAAGTAGTACATGCTTGCACCTGTATAGGTAATAATCTTCAGCATCTTTGAAAACAGATTGGTACTGGTGTGTTGTATTGGTGGCTTAGTCGTCACACATGGTCTCTTACCTTCAGTGATTGAATTTTCTGAATTGATGAACAAATTTTGGTAGAATTAAAAAAAAAAACAAACCATTGGCCCTTGATTTATATAGTAGTTATGTTTTTGGAATATTTAGTATACATTAAGACAGTGTAAATTGAAACTTTGTAAATTGAAACCAGTACCTAACTCTGTCATACATAAAAACACAATACATACATGTATGACAGAGTTAGGTACTGGTTTCAGTTCTACAAAGATTATTCATGAAAACGAATGCTCAGTGGGAGAGTTGATAACTTGTGGGGCATAGGCTATGTCTTGGCCTATTTGGGATGGCATAACCAAAAGTACCAGAAACTAGGTGGATCAAAAACTAAACATTTATTTCTCACAGTTCTGGAGGTTGGGAAGTTGGAGTCTGAGGTGCTGGCAGATTCAGTCTCTGGTGAGGGCTCGTTCCTCATAGACTGTGGCTTCGCTGTGTTGTCTCATGGTGGAAGGGGCTGGGTAGCTCTCTGGGATTGGTTTTATAACAGCACAAGTCCCAATCATGAAGGGTCTGCCCTCATGATCTAGTCACCCCAAAAGGCCCTTCTTCCTAATACCCTAACCTTGAATTATGATACTGGCATGAATTTTGGGGTAACACAAACATTCAGGCCATAAATGGCTAATTCTTAATTGTGTGACACCACCCAGGCATTTCAGGGCCTTTGGCGTCTCTGACCCTTGGTTACTTACTTTCATTACTCACCTTGTCATCCCCTCATTTCCAAAAAGTTGCTCAGGGATGGTCCTGCCCTACTTGAAAACAACAGAATAGATAAATCAAGAGAGAAAGGTAGTAAAAGTTACTCCTAATTCCCTTCACTTACATGTAATTGTTTTAACATGTTGGTATATATTTTTCTAGATACGGAAAGTCTAAACTCTACTTTATTGTGCACTGAGCAGTGCCCATTTTATTTTACAAGTGTTCCTCCATTAAGAGTGGTGCTTATTGTAGGAATCTCAGCCTCCTTATGATTGGATGGGACAGTAAGACTAATGCCCCATTACAGACTCTTTGGGGTATAGTGGTCTTCTTTAGATAATTGATGAGTTTCCAAGGAGGCATACAATTTGACAAGTTGCTATAGCCAACACTGTGAAAACATCAGTACTTAAAATACTGTATGTCTATTTCATTATATATCAGGTTAATAATATTTGATCTCCTTCCCATACTTATTGACATATATTATACTTCTCCATTGTCCTACGTGGTAGCTGCTCATTACATACAACATTTGAAATGTGGCCAATGAGTGGAAATATTCTGTAAATATAAAATATAAGCTGGAGTTTGAAGACAATAAAATGTAAATTCAGCTGTTTTTCCCTACTGCTCTGAGAAAACTTAGAATTACATTGGGTGGCTCACATTTTGTTTCTGCTGGACAGTGCTGTTATAGACCATTTTAGATATCTAGCCTATACCCTACTCTAAGCAGTGTTGTTAAAGATATTCCCATAATATGGCAGTTGTGTCAGTTAGTGCCAAGAAGGTATGGAAAATGATTCTGAGTGGCAGTGTTGAAGGAATTAATAAGAGGAAATGGGCTTGTATTAAAGCTGGGAGGATTTGATGAGTTAACAGTGGTTTTCAGTTGGGGGGTATTTTTATCCCCCAGGGAATACTTGACAATTACTGGAGACATTTCTAACAGTCAAGTTTCTAGGATTTTTTTTTTTAATGTCTTTTAAATTGCTAAATCATATGATTATTATTTAAAAATCTAAGGAGTGTTGAGAATTAAAGTCCCTCCAAATTTCATACTCTTCCATAGTTGCCATATCAATTCTGTATGATACTTTTGTTGTTGCTATTTTGGTGGTGGTGTTTGAGACAGGGTCTCAGTCTGTCACCCAGGTTGGGATACAGTGGTGCGATCTCTGCTCACTGCAGTCTTCACCTCTCAGGCTCAAGTGATCCTCCCACATCAGCCTCTTGAGTATCTGGGACCACAGGATTGTGCCACCACAGCTAGTTAGTTTTTTTGTATTTTTGGTAGAGACGGAGTTTTGCCATGTTGCCCAGGCTGATCTCCCAACTCCTGAGCTCAAGTGATCCACCCACCTCAGCCTCCTAAATTGCTGGGATTACAGCCTTGAGCCACCTTGGCTGGCCATCAGTTCTGTATGATATTCTGCCTTTTAATTTTATTCATTCATTCATTCTGAGGCAGAGTTTCACTGTGTCATTTGGGCTGGAGTGCAGTGGCATGATCGTGGCTTACTGTGGTCTCAACCTCTTGGGCTCAAGCAGTCCTCCTGCCTCAGCCTCTCAAGTAGCTGGGACCACAGGCAGGGCACCATGCCCGGCTGATTTTTGTGTTTTTTGTAGAGACAGAGTCTCTCTGTGTTGTCCAGGCTGGTCTCCAACTCCTGGGCTCAAGCAGTCCTTGCACCCCTGTGTCCCAATGTGCAGGGATTACAGACCTGAGCCACCGCACCCTACCTCTGTGATATTTAGCAGTTCACATGATATCATAGGTGGACCTGCAGGGTAGGCAGGGTATAAAAAAAGAGAGAGGAAGAGACAGAGAAGTGGAAATGTAGTCTAAGGAGAGAAGGAGAGGTGGAGAGAGAATGGGGAAAAGTCAGGGCGGAAAAGGGCAGTTACGGAGCAGTGTTAATAACCATGCCGTTACTGTTTTTTTCCCTGCTTTCAGCTCTTAAGCTGTCCAAGAATTTGGCAACTAACCTCTTAATGCCACAGTGAACACATGTAATAGATATAACAACTTAGTTCAGGCTGAAATGGAAATGGAAATAGATTGACACTCAGGTTTTGCTGTTTAATATACCACTACCACTAGGATGTTTACAAGTATGGTAAAGAGTGTATAATCCTTTAATTGCAATTGCTGGGTTTTTTTTGTTTTTTAAATAGAATATCCAGTGAGTGCTATCGCCTGGCGTACTCCAATCATAATAGCAGTGCCATTTTTCCTCTGACTCAGCTCCCTATTGTGTATGTGAGTATGCGTGTGTGTGTGTGTGTGTGTGTGTGTGTGTGTGTGTGTGTGTGT